AAATAAAAGCCTATACCTTGTTCACAAAGGAGGAGTCCTCAGGAACACCTACAGGCCTTCCCTCAATACTACTTCATTGGTGATCAAGCTTCAACATGAATTTCAGAAGAGATACAAACATTCAAACTGTACCAGAGTGGTTATTTTTAATAAGTGGCATTATCCCAGCCACTGAGATTTCCCACATTATAGAATGAAACAGTAAATATCAGTAAATATCAGGAGTTATCATTATTTGAGCTTTTAGGCTGCCTGTAAGACATCTTATTCATGACTACCCATATTGGCTTTCTTCTAATTATTCAGAGTTCGAGGCAGTGCCAGGTAGCTGATCAGGAGCCTGGAGTCTAGTCTGTTGATTAGGTATCTAGTGCCAGGATGTGCTAGATGAAGGTGCATTACTCAGAGTCAACTGTGTACTGAGAATCAGTTTAAAATATTCTTAATACTCTTTTCAATTTTATAATGAGATAATTCTGCTCATTTAGAAATGCCATTCACCTTTTCTCTTTATATTATAGTTTTTTAAAGTGCATTAATTAATCTTCTGGTGATTGCTTTCTCTTTTAAAATTAATTCCTTGCTTGGGCAGTCTTGGTGGTTATTGATTACAATCTGTGAGAGACCCTGAGCCAGAGATATCCAGCTAAGCTGCATCCAGATTCTTGAGCCATAGAATCTGTGAGGAAAACCAATGTTTATTTGTAAAATTCTGGAAGGTAATCAATCAATTAATCAATCACTCAAAGAAATTACCAATAAAAAGCATAGAAACATATATTACACCAAAGAAGAAGACATAGTAAGACCTTGGTCACAAATACTCCAAATCAGCTATGATCTGAAATACGGTCATTTCAAATACATTTTCATACTGCTAACAATTTAAGGAGTTAAGATTTAATTTTTTTTCCCTAGACTGTTTCCACAATCTGTCATTTCTTAGCCCTCTGAGCAGTCAGCTCTGACATGGGAAAAGTGCTTTTATTGTCAACTCTCACTTTAATCTCATGAAGTCTAAAAGTCATTCCACAAAAAACATTGATTGTCCCCCTTTCTTTGATTCTGTTTCCCCCTATTGATTATAAGCAATTTTAAAGATTGTTTATTCATTGTTTCTTATGATGAAAAGGTGAGAAGACAGAGAGAGTTCGATATTATTGGTAGGCCATCTGGTACAATCTATTGTTAGAATGTGCCCTATTTTTAGATTCTACATTTGCTTAGGTAATATAATTCTTCTTCCTTGTGAGTCCATTTTATTAACCCCTTATGGGACTATATGCATGATTTAAAAAAAACACTTTAGACAATTTTATGAATAACATGGGTAGGAGAATTCATTTTTCATTGAACAAACACCATTTTGGTATAACTATGTGCTTCTGGATAGTAATGGTCCCAGAAGGACTCTGTTCCAAAAAGCATTGCAGGCAGGAAATGCTGTTCTGGAACACATAACAAGCAATGAATGAAGGGCCAGGAATGAGCAATAAATAGAGGCAAAGAAGATAGAAAATGCTAAGAAGGACGTTGGGAAAAGAGGCTGAATTTAGGCAAATAACTTGATTAAATGTAGGCAACCTAGAACCAGATGAGAGCAAACGTCTTAGTCTGGAGTTTTCACAATGAAATGTTAAATTTGCTTACCTACTTCTTTAAAGACTTAATGCCATATCCCAGTGAAGGGCTTGAAATATTTACTTTATTCAAGCACACCATGAATCTCCTTGTTTTTAGCTATGTGCTTTTTAAAAAATGATTTACCATGTTTGGAAATATTCTTTAAAATATTTCCTCTAAACTGGATGACTTTTAAAACCCACTTAGACCTTTAATGAGGTTGTACATTCAAAAGTGGCACTGCCTAAGCAGGTGGTGGCATGTCTTTGTGGGTGCAGTGCCTGGGATGCACTCTAATATGGTTTTGACTCTGACATGCTGAATTATTTGATGATACCTGCTTTAGACTGAATGTTTTCCCCCCAATACTTGAAATCTTGAAATCCTAACCCCCCAAATGATAGTACTAGGAGATGGGGCCTCAGGAAAATGATTAGGTTGTTACTGCAGAGCCCTCATGAATGGAATTAGTGCCCTTATAAAAGAGATCCCAGAGAGCTCTCTTGCTCCATCTGCTTCATGAGGACACAGGGAGCGAATACAGCTGTCTGTGAACTAGGAAGATGCCCTCACTAGACACTGACTCTTTGGGAGCCTCAGTCTTGGATTCCACAGCCTTGAGAGCCATGAAAAGTGAAATCCTATTGTAGATGAGCCGCCTAGAACATTATATTGATATAGCTGCCAGAATAGACTCAAACAACATTCTCTGGTAAAGAGGAGGGCAGTAGATTTTAAAAGGGGTCATCATACTGCCGCCTGGGCTTCTCAGGAGGCCCTGTTGAAACACAAAGCAGTTGAAGCTCCCAGTAAGAACTGGGGAGGGGAGTCACACAAAGTCATCACTGTTACCTGGAGTGAACAGATTGTCAAGCAGGGAGAAAAGCCCTCTCTGAGCCTTTTTTTTTTTTTTTTTTTTAAATCATGAGAAAGTCTTCTTCAGACAGGACTAGAGCAGTATACATTTCAACATTACCTAGAGGATTCGATTGATCAGAATCTCCCTAATGAATAATAAAACACAATTTACATTTTCATCGGATTACTTGTAGTTTAGAAAGCATTTCTATTTTACTTGCAAAGCCCAGAGTATGTATTTGGGAATAAAGATAGTGATTCAAATTCTGACTCCTTTACTTACTGGCTATGTGTTCTTGGGCCAGTTATTTAATTGTCCTTGGCCTCGATTTCCTCACCTGTAAAATGGAAATAATAATCCCTATTGCTTAGGGCTGCTGTGAGAAACAGCAATAATGCAAATACAGCATCAATCCCAGGGACTCAAATGTGGAAGAAATGCTTAGATAGGGAGACAGAATCTAACTATAAGAAGACTTTCCTTTCTCCTCTATTTCCATTTATCCATTGAAAATAATTATTCAGCATGCTGGAAGTTGCTTTCAGAATATTCCACTGAATTTTTTATGGAAATTGCACTGAATATTCCATGGTGAACAAGACAGGCATGGCCATTCCATGGTCTAGTCTACCAATACATAGTTCAAATAATACTTAGCTCCTGTACTGGGTAGCTAAAATGGAATCTTAGAGTGCTAGTGGACTGTAGAGATCCCTTAAGGTGAATCACTCATTTTAAAGAAAAGGACCAAGCTTGTGAGTTACTATTAGATTGATATTAAATTGATTGACATTAGTTTGTCAAGACAAATTCCAGTTATTGACCCATGGATTGGCATGGATTTATATACCATAAATTAACAATGAAATAAGAAGTAGAAATTTCAATGAAGATTTTCTGTGTTCTTCTCAAAGCCAAGCAAAGACAAGGGACCTGGGTGTGAAGGATATCAGGGAGGCCTCAGTCCCATCCTCTCTCAGTTTCCCCAGACCCTATCCTTTCCTTACATAAGATTCTTTTTTTTTTTCTGACATTGGATAGTTCAGATTCTGTTCTAGCAACTGAGGGTTTGAATGATCACTTAATGTAATTGGGAACCAGTAAAACCTAAGGTTCTTATTGGTAATGTACTCATGAGCATGGATGAAAGAACCATAGCCAGACTACAGGAAAGAGAGGGAGGATTGTTAAGAATCAGAGTGAGGGACTGGCTTCTAAAAAGAATTCACTGAATGAACAGGGACACTAGAAAATAATCAAGGACTTTGAAGTCCCCTAAGAGATCATTGCATAATTGAATGAAGAATTAATTGCTCTCTTACTCTCTCTCTTTTTAAAATTTGTAATGTTACTACCCTTTGATCAATAGGTGAAGATTCTTTTTTATTACTATAGTTATGTGCAGTGAGGAAGGAGATAAAGTTTCATCTCTCTTCCAGACTGAAAGTGAGAAGACCTGGGATACTTGATTCAGGGGCAGGACTCCCTTCTGGCTGAATGGATAAGAAAATAAACAAGTACAACAATTATAAAAATGCAGGTGGTAACATGAGCTGTGAGGGGAGCTTGCAAGAGAAGTGGTGTCTGGGCTTGCTCACAAAGTTTATTGTTGTTTTCTGCTCTGGGGAATAGGAGTGGTAGGAAGTTAGGTAATTGTGATGCAAGATGAGTTGCCAGTAATTTAGGATGGTGGCATCTACCTTGGGAGTATTGTAGAAGAAGTGATCTTGCAGCTCCTCCTTTGCCTAAAAAAAAAAAAAAAAAAGGAGTACTTCACATTATTAGACTTTTTCTGTCAGGGATTTCCTTTTCTAAAAATTAGGTTCCCTCCTGGGTTAAAAAAAAAAGGGGGGGCAGGGGGCTAACATGTTTTAGGTGACATTTACTTATACAACATTAGAATCAGGAACTAAAAAATGAGGACCAGCAATTAATTTGTGGCTAACTCTTTCCCAACTCATTTTGAAATTCTGTATCAATTACCCAGCTGTTTCTGTGCTTCACATTCAGAAGTTGAAATCTGAGAAGTGAGTGATAAAAGTTTTCTGCCTATTGAGGAGATGCTTTCTCTAAATAAAGAGACTATGCTTGTATTCAGAAGTAGCTTTCTTTGAAAAGAACTCAGTATAACTTATGCAAATACAAGCCTTCCTTTAGTTAAGTAATTCACTTATTAAAAGGAAAAAGAAAAAAGAAAAAAAAGAATGGCAGTGATTTCCTTCTGAATAGTACAGTACAGAACAGGAAGATAAAGAAGAGTAAGTTTACAATGAAGATGAATAAGAACTGCTCAGTTGTTTTAGGTCAGCCTCAGCAGTGATTGCTCACATTGGTAGTATGTATCCATGATGTAATCTCATGAAAATGGCTTCCTACCTCTGTAGTCTTCCTGTAAATAACCCACAGGACTAATCATAAAAAATAAATAAATAAATAAATAAATTCCAGAAGAAGATACATGACCAGCACTCCTCAAAATTCTCAGTCATCAAAAACAAAAAACAACCCCCCCCCCAAAAAAAAAGTGTGAAAAATGGTCACAGCTCAGAGGAGCTCAAGGAAATGTAATGACTAATTGTAATGTGGTGCCCCAGATGGAGTCCTGCATCAGAAAAATGATATTAGGTAAAAACTAAGGAAATCTGAGTAAAGTAGGGAATTTAGTTAATAATAGTGTATCACTATTGTCTCATCAGTTGTAACAAATATGTCATACTGAGGTAAGATTTGAATAGGGGAAATTAGGTTCAGGATATGTGGGAATTCTCTGTAGCATCATCTTGATTTTTCTGAAAATTGTTCTAAAAAATTAAGTCTATTTTAAAATTTCAAAGAAAAAGAATTAGGAAGTTCTTGAAAGGTCTGGAGTTATCTTTGTTCTAAACTCTAGTGAATTTTGCTTATGTTAGTTATCTTTGCCTTATGAAAATCTTTTCCCAATAACTCTTGTATGTAGGTTAAACAATTCCTCCTACAAGGGACTGGCTTTAAACATTTTAAAATACAATAGGAAAAAATACAGTTTGCATTGTGATCCAGTGTACGTACATGATCATGTAACTGAAACAAACACTCTCCAAATAATACTATCTTTGAGATGGATGCTGATATTTTATGTTCTATTCTCTTCTATTATATTATTATAGTATATTCTACCCTATTCTGTTATTCTCTCTTTTCATTAAAAACATCCCAGTTGTGATATACCACATAGATTTCTTAGCTCACTGATTGCAACTTACAATTGGAAAACTATTTTAAGGGCTTAACTCAAGGGCTAGCTTCTCTAAGATATCTCTGTACTGTTCAATAGAGCAGCCACTAGGCACATGTGGAAATTTAAATTTCAAGTGCACATGTGACATGTGGCTACCATATTGAATAGCATTTATGTAGAATATCTCCATTACTGCAGAAAGTTTTATTGTACTTTACTGCAGAATCTCTCCATCTCTTGGGCTAATGAAACAGCTTACCAACTTGTCTCCCTTTGAGATTACAATCTTCCATGCTGCTGTTATAATTAACTTTCTAAACATAGAGTTCATTTCTCTGCTTGAAAACCTCCAATGGTTCGCTATTCTTATGAAATGAAACATTTAAGGCCCTGCACAGTTTGATTCCTTCACCTCTCCAGCTTCGTCTCTCAACTCTCCTGCTAAATACCATTGATTCTAAGTCTTCCATGTTTTAGTTCACACTCTTTTCTTTCCTAGAAATTCTCTTGTGCCCCTTCTCTGCCAAATAAAATCCTATATATTTTCAAGGCCCACTTCTTATATTGTCTCTACTGTGAATGATTCTCTGAAGACCTTCCCTGTCTGCCAAAGAAATATATTGCTTTCTACGTGTTACCATTGTAGCAACATTTCAACACTATACTGTATTAAAATTAGCTAAGTACAACCGATTTCCCCACTAGCCTGTGAGGTCTGAACATGTGGAATGTGTAGCATTTAACTCTTTATCTGCAGTGCCTGGCAGGTAAGTTGGTTGATTGACTGACTGAATAACCAAAAATTGTAAGGTTATTGAGGGCAGAACCACACTTGGGCTTATTTAATATTTACTCAGGATGATGGGGGAACTCATACAAGTTATTTATGAATTCACATTGCCTGCTTTCAGGCAATGAGTTTAGACAGATTATTTTCTGCAAATTCTGTACCATCTGTCTTTTTGAAGGATGGAAGAGAGACAGTACTATTTTTTTTTAAGAAATATATAACAAATGCTTTTTTAGTTTCTCATAATGTTAAAAGTTCATGGACTCTGTGGAGAATAAGAAACACATGTGAGGTGGATTTAAACCCCTCTAATGTGGTTTTTACAAGTGCTTATCGTAACTGAGTAATAATTTAAGATTAGCAGGTAGAAAGTGGTTCTAAAGGAAGTAATCCCAGGCTGGAGCACTAGGAGAATTGAACACATTGCAGCTTTCTCATCTCATAATGTATCTTTGTAAGAATTAGGCACAACAGGAGCTTGCTGGTTTTTTAGTGTCTGTACATCTGGCTCTAATTTTTCTGTTGGTGACCCCAATGTTTTTGATGTCCTACAGAAAGTTCCATATTTCATCCTTCCTAATATTTTCTTGGAATTCCCTTTCCAGGTTAGGATGCTCTCCAGCCTTCCTTTGGCAACTAGTTTCTCATGTTGACAGAAGAGTGAATACTTGAAGTCGGACTAGAGAGCTAAAAAGACAAATTAAATTTGTGATGATCAAAGCCAAGAAAGAAAATTAAACAACCATGGGGCAATTAAGGGACTTTCTTTACGCTTTCAGGAGGAGTGGGATAATTCTATGGATTCTCCAGAGAGGAAGAAACCATTGTAAGTCAAAGGTATGTATTGCTTTTAGGCAACTCAATTACTCTAATTAAATTTTGTAACCTTGTACTTAAAAGTGAGTTGCTATTATTAGAAGTGAGTTCATTATTAGTAAAATAATATATTAAAAGGAAAAAAAAATTACCAACAATGTAGCCAAGCTGGTACAGAGTGTTTTGTGGCATATGAACTAAACTTATTGCCTCTAATTTTCATTAACACTAATAAAAGCAGAATAGAAAACAGGGTTTTCCAGTCAATCAAGGGATGCCATTATGTGATAAGACCAGTGTTGAGTATTTCAACACAGACTTTGGTTTTTGGCATACTCTGGCAGACTCCAGAGGAATTTATGAATGAAGGATTTCTGGCTAGGAAACAAAATTTGGAATTTGACTTTAATGATTATAATAATTTAGGACTTACTAAATTCAACTGTTCTGTTTTAATGTTATGTTGTTTTCAAAAGGTTTGTTTTGAAGCTAAAATGAGTAGCAAGTATATAAAGACTGAGATGTTATGAATGGAAAGAGAATTTTGTAATGGGATGGAGGACAATAGAGTTTGTCTTGTTTCTGATGTCCTTTCATATAATGGCATAGAAACAAGGCAGTGTCCTTGTTTCCTTCTGAAAGTACTGGAATGGAGGGTGGGCATCTGGGCAAAGGTTTAGCTACAATGTGTGTCTTAAGACAATCTTCTTGATTACAATTAAAAAAACTGTTATTCTATGGGGCTGGGTTGTGGCTCAGTGGTAGCGTGCTCACCTAGCATGCATGAGGCACTGGGATCGATCTTCAGCACCACATAAATACAAAATAATGTGTCTGCCTAAAACTAAAGATACATAAATAAATAAATGTTAAAAAAACCTGTTATTCTATAAAGAAGGAAAGAGGAAAGTGTATAACTTCTGAGTAACTTTTCATTTCTGAAGACATTGTGTCCAAAGGTGCCAAATTGCTTTTAGAGGTAAAACAATGAACAAAACTACAATACTATCATGAATTTAAGTCACTTGAAGTTATTTTTGAAAAGTCATTAAATCCAAATTCAGAGTAGCATAATTGTAGTAGTCAAAAGGTGGAAGCAACACAAATATCCTCCATCTAATGAATCAATAAAGGATGAGATTACACACACACACACACACACACAGAGAAATATTATTCATCCTTGAAAAAGAAGGAAATTCCATCACATGTTACAACATGGATGAATCTTGTTGAAGTGAAATAAACTACTCCACAAAAGAAAAATGCTATGTGACTTTACTTTCATGAGGTATCGAGAGTTGCTAAACTCATGGAAACAGAAAGTAGAATGGTGGTTACCTGGGGCTGAGTTTGGGGAAATATAGAGTTGTCATTTAATAGGATGGAATTTGGGTTCTGCACAACGATGAAGTTCTAGAGACTGGTTGCACAGCAATGTGAATATACTTAACACTCCTGAACTGTACACCTGGAGATGGTTAAGATGGCAAATTTTATGCTATATGTTTTTTTTTAAATGTCAATGAATAAATCCTAACATCAAGAAGGCCAGAAATTTAAAAATAAACTTTAAAATAGTCTGAACAACATTTCAAAAAAAGAATCATGAACATTGAGAGTCTCAAGCTGAAGTGGAGCATTACTACTTTAATGAAATCACGTGGATATGCCATCCACAGCTGACTAAACACTCCCAAAGTCTTCAAATAATAATAGTTGTCAAGTCCCAATTGGAGTTCCTTTCTTGGCTGTCAGAAGGTGATGAAAACTCAAAACTGTAAAACTCCATAGAACCTTCTGAGAAGAGTTGACATGTTTACGTTTATTTTTGGCATAAGAGAAATTTTAGTAACTTTATCTCCTACAGTACTTGTGGGAATTGTACATCCTAAAATAGGCTTCTCTGCTTTTGCAAAGAGGGTTCCTCAGATCTCAACACCTAGAGCACTTAGCTTTCAGCTCAAGCTATTGTCCATCCTACTATCCTCGAAAATCCATCACCAGCTGAGCGTCAGGACACTTCTGCCCTTTTCTTCTCTTCCCCAGCTCTTCCATTGCCATCAAACCCAGACTTACGTCAAGAACCCAGTTACTGTTTGTTTCCAAGGACTCTGTCTGTCTTAGTAGCTAGAAACTTGACCATGAAAAATAAAGCCTTTACCTCATTCTTACCAATCATTATTACACTTGAGGACTCTTCAGAAGCTGAACGCTTATCCAAGGAACAATTTGAGGGTGAAGGTACATTGCTGCAATATCGATTTGTCAAGAGTATAACCACTCAACACTAGTTCCAAGAGTTCTGCCAAAGGGAAACTGATTGTGTAGGTAGCTGGTCAGTTGAAGGCTTTCCAGTAAGATTTTCTATACTTATAGTGTGTTTTCTTTGCACATTTTTTTTCAGAGGTAATACTGAACAGGTGTGCTTATAAAACATTTTTTATTTTTGCTTTCTGGTCTCTTTCCCCACCCCTCTCTTCCCCTGCTTCTTCTTTTGGCTTCTTTATTTCTTATTACACAGTCTGGAAAGCTTTGGAGAATGAGTTCAGCGATTTTCTTATTATGGTGGACAGCAACATTGAATTTTCATAGATTTGATTTTTTGCGCCAGTAATGATGTACCTGCTGCCCTCACACTGCCCTTGGTGACCCAAGTTTGCATCTCAGTTGTTACTGCTTTTTAGAAAGTAGAGTAATAAATGGAAAGCCAGGCTGACTCCAAAGGTCATGGTGATAGACACAGTGCTGTTGAGGTGCTTTCTCAGCCAATCCCCAGATAGTTCCTGGTTACATTGGTGACACTGTGGGGTGAAGGTGAGAAGGGAAAAAGACAGGAATTTATAGATAAGACCAAAACATCTTGCTGCTTTTAGACAACAGAATTATATTAATTAGATTTTTATAGTTTTGTACTGAGAAGTGAGTTATTGAAAAGATATATATAAAAAAAAAGTCTTGCTCACAATTTAGCCAAGTGTCTTTCTCTTTTTCCTGGGGAGAGCAGTGTGGACATATCAATGCAGCTTTACCCTCCTCCTTGAGCTCCCCATTGTGTGGATGTTTGCATTTTCCTAGTGAAAAGGGGAAGGCTAGTGAGCTCAAGTTTTTTTTTTCTTTAAAATAGTTAACAATTATTCATTTCCAAAGAACTCTGTTGATTCTCAGAGAAATGTGATGAAGCTAAGGGCAACTGGGCAGTTAAAAAATATATGTATTTTTAATGAACATATTTTGTAGGCACTTTAACTATAAGCCTACATTGTGTAAGAGGAAGCATTCTACTCTCTGAAGACACGTGGATTTGATGTCAGGAAAAATACCAGAAGAATCTCTCCCAGACATAAACATATTTGGATTAGAGATATTGTAGTAGGGTGGATGGTGGCCACCAAAGAGATATGTCTATGTCCTGAAAGCAGCAAATGTGACTTTATGTAGAAGGAGGGTCTAAAACATGTAATTAAGGATCTTGACCAGAGCGTATCCTGGATTACCCAGGTTAGCTTTAAATCTAATGATGACTGTCCTAGAAGAGACACAGAGAGAGGGCCATGTGAAGACAGAGTCAGAGTCATGCCACCACAAGCCAAGGAACTAGTGAAGCTGCCATAAGCTGGCAAGGAAGAATTCTCCCAATGGCCTTTGGAAGAAGCGCAACCCTGCCAACACCTTGATTTTAGGCTTCTACTTCCAGAACTGTCATAAAACAAATTTATGTCATTTCCAGCCACCAGAACTGGGGTTACATGTTCTAGTAACCCTAGGAAACAAATACTGATATCCTTAAAAGGACTAGAACCTTATAAAACAGGACTTCCTTCAGGTGAGTCAGAAAAACCTCATCTTGGGAGTCCAGGATTCAGGCTATGCCTAGAGTCTTAAATCATGCCTGTTTCAAAGGTGAAGGAATTAATGTCCAAGGTCTTGTGGTGGTCACATGGGAACTGGAAGAGAATCCTGCTGAGGGCTGGATTGGTAGAGTGGTTGCACACTTGGGTGCTGGGTCTTGTCTGGGGTTGAATGCCACCCTCTGTCCTTACAAACTGTGCTGCCCTTGCTAAGGTACCCAGCTGCTCTTAATTGGAAAACAGAAATGATAATAGAACTTTACATACACTTGCTGGGAAGATTAGAAAGGATAAAACATTTAGACTGGGCATGGTGTTGCATGCCTATAATCCCAGTTACTCAGGAGACTGAGGTAAAGAGGAATGTCAAGTTTTAGGCCAGCCTGGGCAATTTAGTAAGACCCTGTCTCAAAAATAAATAAATAAATAAATAAATAAATAAATAAATAAATAAGGGCTGGTTTGAAGAGTTCAATCTCTAGTACCAACAACAACAACAAAAGGAAGCGGTAAATGAATATTAGCTATTATGATTATCACCACCTTATGTTGATATATGATTGCCAGATTAGGAAGACCAGACAAAGAATAAAAGAGAATGGGATCATTTTCTAAGGCAGAGCACATGGCCTTTATCACCTACTAAATCAGAAGCCAGGTTTAGAAAGATTATTCTTAAGAATGTTCAATTCGGGCATGGCTGCCAGAAGGGAGAACAGAGGCCTCAGCTACCTCTATAACCTCTGTTATTTGCTGAGCACCTCACATGTGCAACTAACAATTCTGAGCATTTTCAATGAACTACTTCATTTCAAAGATGAGGAAACTGAGGCATGAAAAGTTTTGTGCCTTGCTTATTTTCAGAAGCCAAGTTGGAAACCACATTGGGAAGCTATCTAAGTGTTCCTTCTGTCCCATCAACTACCCCTAACAAATGCTAAGCGTCCAACAAGTATTTTTTTGAATAGGCAAAATCAAGCTTCATTATCAATACCTTTATAGTAATACTGGAGTTCCTCATAACATTGTAATATAAGGAAATGGAGATTTCAGCACCATAAATCTCCTGAAACATCATAGCAAAAAGGAAAGATTTAGGGAACAACCATTTACAAGATAAATCTATTTCTCTTTGTCCACATTTTTACCCCTTTTCCACTAGCTGATAGGGTGCCCTTACTGTAGATGTAATAAGAGTGGGCAGACAGCTGCCAGGCGTGGTGGTACACCCTGTAATCCCAAGTGACTATGGAGACTGAGGCAGGAGGAGTGCAAGATCAAGGCCAGCCGGGCCAATTTAGTGAGACCTCATCTCAAAACAGAAAATAAAATTTAAAAAAAGGGCTGGGATGTAGCTCTGTGGTAGAGCACCTCTGGATTCAATCCCTAGTATCACATAAAAATATTAATAATAATAAAGTGGGCAGGCAGCTAGTGAGCTAGTGGTGGTCTATGTTTCTTATCATTCTACTTCCTGTTCTTTCTAAAGAATTAGAATAAACAAAACAAAAAACTAGAAAGAAAATGAATGTCCTGATATGAACACTGATCATCCTTATTGTTTTAGTTAACATTTTTGCAAGACAATGTCTTCATTTTACTGTACTTTTCTCTCAAATTGTCCTACTTAGTTAATTAAGTGCTTATTTAAACATATATTCTTCTCTGGTACTAAAGGCCTTCCAGGATAAGAAGCTGTTCCATCTAAATAAAAGATGAAGGATGTTGAAACAAGAGCAGTCTTTAAAAGCAGACCCATAAATAAGGCAGTAGCTGGTGCTATGTGATTCTTGCCTTGGCACTTGTGCTGGGATTGGCTTCTAGGTCAAGGAATTCTTCACCCAGAGGCCAAGGACTTGGTTGGGGGAGGGTGGCATGTATGAAACCCCAGCAATTTATACAAAGTTTGCATAGATGAACATTTTTCTGCTTGTTTCAAAGGACACTTTGAAACTCATGTCTATAAGCTGAGAATCAGTATTTTGAAGCCTTGTACTAAAGCTGATCGCCACATTTTGCTCCTTTATATCATCTTCAGTGCCAATATAATGCCCAGTATATTATACATGTTTGTTGGTAGCTTACAAGAGAACTAGAGGCTTCATCTTGTTAAAAATGTCATTTCATAGTCAAAAGGGTCGGATTTCTAAAAGCGAGATTCCATGATACAGTCAGAGGAGTTTACCTTCTCAGGAGCAGCCAGGTCTGGTTCTCAGCTTTTCTCCTCTTTGGAATGATCCTGTTAAGGTTACTTCTCCTCTCTGGGTTACTGTTTCTTCATCTGTGAAATAAAGATTTAAAAAAATAAAGATGCCTTCAAACTTTAAAACAATTCTGTTCCATGTAAAATATCATTAAACCATTGGGCCAGAAAATCTCCCACAAGAGTCTAGAATGTATTATAAAAACAAGGGATAAGCTGGCCTTACTTTAAAAATCATTTTTAGAGAAGTCACAGTTAAGGACATGGCATTGGCTGGTGATTTCCCAGTTGTAGTCTGAGAAGTATAAGATGCCACAGTTTCCAGGGTTGAAGGGAGGCCCAAGGGAGGCCTGCAAGAGAGAGTCTGTGAACACCCTCTCCCTACTTCTGTCAGGACAGCCTGCTTTTACTCTGCATAGTGCATTTGGCTTCTGGGTTTATTTGTAGAAAATATTTCTTGATTTTAATTGTCTATATTAATGTCATGGGACAAAAGAAGGAAAAAGAGACCTGGGTGTGATGGTGCACTCCTGTAATCCTAGCAGTTTGGGAGGCTGAGGCAAGAGGATTGCAAGGTCAAAGCCAGCCTCAGCAATTTATCAAGGCCCTAAACAGGTTAGAGAGACCCTGCCTCAGAATTAAAAAAAAATATGAAAGGCTGGGGATGTGGCTCAATGGTTAAGCACCTCTGGGTTCAACCCTCAGTACTGGGGGAAAAAAAAAGGCAAAAGCGATTAGGTAAATTTTTGCATTTAAAAATCTGTCCTTGGGGACTGGGGGCATAGCTCAGTGGTAGTATATGTGCAAAGGCCCTGTGTTCAATCCCCAGCATCAAAAATAAATAAGAAAAAATTAATAAAAATCTCTTTGAAAACTCACTGGAAACAGAAGCCCTAAGTCTTGTTTCCTATTTTGTCATTTATTAGCTCTTTCACATCAGGCAGGTCATATAGTTTTTTTTTTTTTTTTTTTAGTCTTCCTCTTCACATGTAGTACAATAATTGCATTGGTAATTGAGATAATTAAAAGAGATAACATTAGGGAAAGTGTTTTGTAATTGATGAGGCACCATAAAGATGGTTAATGATTCTTCAATAGTGTGCCCAGGGCTTGACATTTTTCTTAACCATTATAGCAATTTTTTTCCCCACTTGAATTAAGTCATAGAGAGCATGGATGATCAAATTTGCAGATGACTTCAGGTTATGGGACAGAAGTATCAGAGACAGAAATCTGCAGTGTTCAAGAACATCCAAGGGTAAAACTTGGAGAAAAAGAAAAGGTCTTGTTCTTTAGTCCAAAAAATTAATTGCTCAAGACTAGGATGGGGGAAAATTTGGCTTCAGCAGTTCAAGTAAAAAAAAAGATAAGGAATTTTTCTGGAATTCAAGTTTATGATGAGCCAACAGTCTTGTGATATGATTGATAAGTTAACAAATAGGTGATTCAATATGCTTGGAGAAGGCCTAGAAGGTTTCATTGGGAAGCTTTGAAACAATTTCAGGGGAAGAACCTGAGGATTTAAAAGACCCAATGTTCTCAAATGAAGTTACAGACTCTCATGGAGGAGAAGGTTTAGAGTTCCTTCATTGTCATCAGAGGTGAATCTCAGAAAAAAATTAGACAATGATTGTTGCCTATAGAAGGATCAGGGTGTAGCTCAGTGGTAGCATGCTTGTCTGGTATGTGCCAGGCCCTGGGCTCAATCCCTAACCCCACTAAATAAATAAATAATAAAGGAATGGGTTTGTTGGAGAGACACTGAAAGCTTCCTTAGGAAAATAGTTCAAATAGAGACTAGACAAGGCCTTCTGCGGTTTGCCATGAATCAGGAGGAAGATTTTAAAAAATTTTCACCAACTTCAAGATCATATTTCTACAGTAAAATTAAGTGTCTCATGGGAAGGATAGTTTAATTTATTAAAAGCCTTTTTTGTTTTGTCTTACTAAAAGGGTGTGGATTTTGAAATTGGCAAACTGGAACTTCCTCTTGTGTGATTTTCAAGATGCTATCTAACCTTTCTGAACATCATCAGTTATGTCATCAGTAACATGGAGGTGACTCATTCATTGTCTCTGCAGTGTTGTAAAGAGGAAGCCACACAACATTGGCAAAGGATGTTTAATTGTGCCTGATCTAAGTAAGGACCCAGAGATAATAATTTATTTTATCCCAATTATTATTATGTTTCTCCTATTTTTTTTTCATGCATTTTATTCCTCCCCACCCCCCATAAGAGATTCCTTTCAGGTGACTATTGAACCCCTCAGAATTGTGAGTAAAGTGGTGACTTTCATGAGTTTGGGAGGAGCAATTTACCTGGAAGAAGTTAGTAGGTCAGGTGGTACAGAATCTTGTTTCATGTCTGCACCATGTTTGTTTCCTCCTAAATGGAGGGAACCTGTAGAACCACTTTTTTTTTTTTTTTTTTGGTTTTAAATTATAACCTGATTTTCCTGCCCATCAAAACCAGAACTGGGCCAACCTGTTTGATTTTCTTCTTAGTTCAGAATTTTAGGCAATAAAACACCCTATTAAAATGTTAAAGCCCAATTTCACAATTGTGTAGCGGATGTGGTATCCGTAGTCTTCTAAAGAGTGAGAAGGGGAGGTAATTGGAGTACTGTGGTGAGTAATGTCTTCTTTCTAGGCCTCCTTTTTCTGGCCCTAAGTTAGTAAATTATTCTTCAGTAATGAGTTAATAAAGGAAGAGCAGTTTGCTATTCTTGGGAGATAAAAACACATGGGATCCTATTCTCTCAAGCATCCTGCCCAATATTAAATGAGACTCTCCTACCCTGGATACACTGTGTGAGAGTTAGTGTGCCACTCTCCCCACCGACCCCTTGGCAGTCCTTTGGTAAAAAGTTTGCATAAAATTTCCTAAGTTTTTCACTCTGGCTCTTAACTACTTTGTTTTTTTTTTTCTCTCTAAATATCAAATTTGTACTCCACAGCATTAACTACTCTAAATGAAGACTGTTCCCCAAAACCCAGACATATTAGAATTTTAAAATAATTCTAAAAACAAGAAACACACTAGAAACCATAACTAATCAAAATTGATAAATATTAGAGTGGGGATGATCATTCCACAGTTTGTTAACTTTTAAGCATTGCCTTATTATGATCAAAGATAACTATATGAATAGATTCCAAGACCGGATGGTAAATAATTTATTTAAAGCATTATAAGATAAACTAGGGCTATTTAACATATATTATTACAAATTCCATGAAAAATAGGTAAACATTTTTAAAAGCATATAATTTAGTGTTGAGTATTGATATTACGTGTGATTATTGAATGTAGAGATTGGGTCATGTTTTTTTATAAGGAGTTATTGAATTTTCTATTATACTGTATGGTATTAATAGTAATATATACAAATATTTATTTACCTCTTAGTATTGTTTATATATATATACATGCGTATATATGTACATATATACATACATATATATACATACATACACTAAGGTGGTATATAAATTTTTATTTTAAAGGAACAGAATTAATTTATTTATAGTTTTAAAATAATAAATCAGTCAGGTATGTTTCTTGGAGTTTATAACTGCTAAATACTAGATAAGAAGGCTTTTATTTATTTATAAATTTTGTGTTTACTATAGTTTCAGGCAATATGCTTAGCTTAAGAGCTTTTAGGAGAGAACAAATGTGAAATTTTTAGGAAAAAAAAACACTTCTTTATCATTTAACCTTACTAAAGAGATATAGGTCTTCATTATGTGACAAATAATGCTCCTCCCTCAGCAGTAATACTTTTAAAAAATTACTCTATTTAATAAGACTTTCACAACTGATAAATATTAAATTTTATATATAAATTCAATATTAGTGAAGGAAGGTAAAATAAAGATAGTAGCTAAGTTGGAAGAGTTTGTTGACAACTTTAAGAGAAATATTGTTACTATACAAATAGTCTTTGGTTTTAAGTAAAAGGAAGAATGTGCTTGTTTATTAATGTTCTTGACCACTGTTGAAACCATATTTGCTGTTATGAAAATAAAATATCCCCCTGAAATGTCCCAATAAAAACTTATAAAATAATAATATAAAAAATAGACATCCATGATTTTACCATCTTAAAAAACGTGTATGTATAGTTGGCATTTTGGATTTTTCTTTGCATTTTTAAACATTTGATTATAATCATAGTATGTGTTTGATTCTGTATTCTGATCTTTAAAAAATAAATTGTCATTATATAGTTTTTTAAAATCACTTTTCTAATGATTGCATTAGCCTAATTTTAAGTTACCAAGATTTATTCAATGCTTACCACAAATATTTGTTGAGCTGCACCATGCTAGGCACTGACAAATACCTATGCGGACTATGGGAGAATGGCAGAGGATGTGCATACAGTGTATGAAAAAAATTGAAATCTTGGTACTATTATTACCCTAGAATCAAGCACTTAGGTGTGTTGTTCATTTGGTTGCTAATTATCAGCTGAGGAAGGTAAGGGAATATTTCTATGTATTTGTGTAGATACTATGCCAGGTTTAAATCTATTAAAGTTAAAAAAGCTTTTTTAAAATTCTCTCTCCAAACAGATATGTAGTGGTCAAGTCCTAGTGATAACAACAGAAAATTTTGAGACAAAAGAAAGTTTCTTCCTAGTCAATCAGAAGAGCTTCCATTTATTGTGGACCTGGGCTTGTGGGCCAGGATCCATTCTGGATAACTGACACACTTTCTGTCATGTCTGATTGCTGGCAACTTGAGCTCCCAGAGCCATCAGAGGCTTCAGTCTGAGTAATTAATTATTATTATTATTTTTTTAGTAAGACATTCCCTATAGCATACCTTTAGTTAGGGAGGAACCCAAGGGTATTGTGTCTGACAGAAGTATAGGGAAGCATTAAAGGTACTAGATTTTCATATGACCACAGGTTAGCTTTTCGTGTCATTTAGAAGGTAATAGATGGGTCTATATAAGGAGTCACATGATAAATTCTGACTAAAGGTCTCACACAGAGAAGATTATTAGATTTTCAAAAGAAGCAAGAAGGCAATTCAATACCTTTAGTTTTGGATAAGTCTCAATTT